CGAAGTTGGACACTTAACTGACTGAGCCACCCAGGCACCCCTGTGGTTGATTTTTTAAAAAAATGTTTATAGTGGAAGCTTAGGCATCATAGTCAGGTACCTAAAAGAGACTTTACAAAAGGAGCATTCCTTTTATTTTTAAAGAATTTCTTTGTAACCTGAAATGATAAGGAGTAGGAAAGAAAATTGACAAGTTGAAAATATAAATATAAAATAATGAAAATCAAACTTGCGGTCAAATATTAAATAACTTCCTAAAATTTAATATCGGGTCAAAAATACTATTTCCTTTTATATGAAAATAATCTATTAAAGGAAAAGAAAAATCTCATAGTTAACAAAGGATGGAGTAATTTCTTGTGTTTAAATTTATTAGAGCCCTTGGCATAGAGGACTTCCTTTTATTAAAAGCTATTTTCCTTGTAAGCAAGAGGCTAATAAGAGAGCTTGCACAGTACTCTTCTCAAACGTTGAAAATAAACAAGAACATGGCCACATACACCTTCTTTTAAAATACCTCATAGATTTCCTTCTTGCGGTTAGTTGTTAATGAGTTTCCAGTAGGGTTGTTGCCGTTTGGGACAGTGTAAAGAAATTTGGGGGCATTTCTCTTGGGGTTTTTTGAGTCTTCTGGTTTCCATTTGGAAAGTACTTCTTTGAGGGAGCCTGGAATAATACCATATTCATCACTGGAAACATTAATAATGTTGCAGCCCAGTGGCATTAGCTGTTGAGCACAAAAAAAAGGAAAGCCCAAGTTCAGACATGATTACAAAATGTGTCATCAATGGTTCTTCTTATACTAACCAAGAATGTTACCATTTAGACCCTTAAACATATAAACCTGCACTCAGCTCTATGCTACAAAGGTTGATGTTGTATATTCTCATTTTATCGTTGCCCTGGGGTAGATTCCATTATTGTTCGACAATATCCCCTGCCAGTTTCCACAGGAAGGAGTATACTTCCTTGCTCTTCTGTGTCAGGATTGACCAGTCCTATGCCTTGCTCTGGCTGATAAATTGTGAGCAGAAGTGATGTATGTTTCTTCCAAGCAGAAGCTTTAAAATCCCAGCTTGTGGTTCTTTATTTCTCTTTTCCCCTTGCTCTGAAACTGGGAGTGTCCCAGATAGAGACTGCTTCTGTCAGCTTGGGGCTTTGGATGGAGATGACATCGAACAGAGCTGCGGCTGCCTTTCGGTGGACATGGAATATATAAGCGAAATAAACCTCTCTAGCCATAAGCCAATGCGATTGGGGTCATTCATTATGCAGCATAACCTAGCCTCTTCTGACTGAATTATCTTTATAATTATAGTTAGAACTGATTCATAAAGTAGATGTTTATTAATGCTTTTTTTTTTGACAAAGCAAGTTAAACAGAAAGCATCTGTTATGCTAATACCTAAAATAGTTACTAGCAAAGGTGATATTCAAAATATTTAACAGGTGATATAGCATGGGAACATCAGAAACAGTATCTGACTGGAATAGAGTCCTGGAGGCCCCCTGCATTAATTCTGTATGATGGGAAGTTAAGGGTGGTCTTAGGGGAGGGGCCAGGGGAGCCAGGGTAGTGATGGGCATGAGGAGGTACAGGGAGGGCAGCAGTTTACCAGGGTATGTGCAAGTATTTCACATTTCACCAACTGCTAAGCCTGAGATGGCGAGTAACGGCCTTGCTTATAGACCTAATTTTATAAAAATCTTGTGGAGTCTTATTCTTGGATGAATATAAAAAAAACCTGAAACTTAGGAAATAACAATAATTTAGTGAGGTTCTCAGAAAATAAAGTTTTCCAAAGGATAAGCAAACACTCTTAGTCAAATGTGGAATTATGTACTAAGTGGAAATAATCCAGACAAATTTATGACAAATCTAAAAATTCTTAGTCTAAGAAAGCACATCTACCATGAATAAAACAAATTAATATTGGGCCATGAAATAAATACATATTGCTTACTTGCACATTTCCTCAGTGTGGCACACAGTTTCTGCTTGGGTAGGTGAAAACATTTGTGCATGTGTTTACATAGACATTGGTTTTACATTCATGAGCATTATATAAGGAGTTTGGTAATTATTAATTAGTATCCAGTAATTAAGAAAAAGCAATTATTTTACTTTAGTTTTTATCGTGGTAAATAGGTATGCAACAAAAATTTTGCCATATTTAAGTGTGCAATTCATGGCATTAATCACATTCACAATGTGTACATCCATCATCACTATTGATTTCCCAACTTTTTCATCATTCCAAACAGAAACTCTGTACTCATTAATCAGTCACTCTCCATTCCTCCCTATCCCCAGGCCCTGCTAACCACTAACTTTCTGTGTCTGCAAATCCGCCTATTTTAGATATAAGAAACATATAAGCAGAGTAATACAATATTTGTCCTTTTGTCTCTGGCTTCTTTCAGTTGGCATAATGTTCTCAAGTTTTATCCATTTTGTAGCATGTGTTAAAACTTTGTTCCTTTTTATGGCTGACTAATATTCTATCATATGTATATGCCACACTTTATCCCTTCACTTGTTGATGTACAGTTGAGTTGCTTCTACCTTTTCGCCATTATGGATAATGCTGCACTGAACATTTGTGTACAATTATCTGAGCTCCAGTTTTCAGTTCTTTTGGGTACATACTTGGACTTGAACTAATCAATCACATGGTAATTCCACGTTTAATTTTTTGAGAAACTGACAAACTTTTCCACAGTGGCTGTACCAATTTACATTTCCACAAGCAATGTACAAGGGTTCCAATCTCTCCACATATTCAACAATACTTGTTATTTTACATTAAAAAAAAGTTGTCCTAGTAGGTGTGAGGTAGTATCTCCCTATGTTTTTGATTTCTATTTCTCTAATGACTAATGAGGGTGGGCAACTTTTCACGTGCTTATTGGCTACTTGTATATCTTCTTTGGAGAGATGTC